CCGTTCAAAGAGTCAGAAACAATAATCAAAAGCTGTAGCTCGTGATCCATCGATCGGGTGGTGAAAAGGGAAGCACAGCTTTTACCGTCGCTTCCGTTCGCGTCCGTCTGGATATCCATCAAAATTCTTGGCGGTTCGAAAGAAAATCGGAAAATCGGACGAGCAATGAAACGCGATCGCGGCGTTCTAAGGGACGCGTGGCCGTTTCGAGCTTCTCGCTCGAGTTAAGGCACTCTCCAAACGCCATTCCATTTCTCCGTGGCACGTGGCCGACGCCATTTATTTATAAATACCGATGCTGCCACGAGCACACGGCCGTCAGTGCACGTGTGTTGGTGCCAATGGACGATGATAGTCGCTCAGCGCGTTAAATTCGACGAGTAAACTTACGGCCACTCGTTTCAAAGGGTGAACAGAGAAACACGAGAGTTTGACCTCCTATCAATTTACGGTCTACAGGGGTCTCGTTGCTAATAAACAGAATTCTTTAACCTTCCGCGACCCGCCGATAAATCGTGTGTGACTTTCACGAGCTTTCGACCTCGTGTCGCGACATCCTCGACACTCTTGTTCCTCCTCCGCAACTTTGAGGCAGGTCAAATAACTCGCGACGCTTTTATTCCACGCTTTCGACCTATGCTTTCTCCTACAAGTTCTTTTAGTTCCTACCAATCTGTGACTAATGTGCTAATATTCTTGCAAGGTCATCGTTGTTGCTTCGCGAAAGTAATTCAAATGTTGAAATTAAACGAGACACTTTGAATAAACCACGCCCTGCATCGCCACCCGTTGAATCACCGTTTAATGAATTGCCACGAGTAATGTGCTTCCTAGCAATCGGCAAGGAAGCTAATGTTCACAAAGTCAAACCCATTCATCGGAATCAATGCTCAGTGTAAATAAGAAAATGGCCGTACACGCGACTAACGAAAGCTCTTTTCATTTTCTTTCTCCTCTTGCTTCGTTTTTAGTCGGATCGAAGCGTGTGCGTACTTAGCAACCCCTTCGTGTTCGCACAGCGTACAAAAGCTTCCCGCATGCTCGTTCTACGGCGGATTGCCTTTCGTTGATAAAACTGGCGTCACCTACTTTGTAAACTGCCGTCATTTCCGTTTTTCGAGCTCCTTGCGTCACGGCTGATTGCGTGGCTGTGCGAGAGTAATCGTTACGGTTTTAGACGAGTCTTTTTTTACGCAAACTATCCTTTTCTCCGCGCCCCTTTTACCCCATTGCGAAATCTTCGATAGATCACTCCCTGTCGATCGAGCCAGATATTATCTCCTGTTCGGAGTCAAATTTTTTATCCAAGTGGGTCGAAATTGGTCCAAAGGTAGACAAAATGATCGATTCGAAATGAAGGAATTTCGAGTAAGGATTGGTCGGAACGCGAGGAGAAGGTGTGACGTTGAGATTTTCTCGCGCAGAAACGCGAGGCGGACAAAGGAGCGAGGTCAGGTGCGAAATTCGACCTGGTTGCGTGGTTAGGTGAGCGACGGAGCGTTCGTGACGTTCAGGTGTCGTTCGGGAGAAACAAACGGTCGAGAAGGACAGGTCCGTGGGGTAGTTGGAGACGATCTGGTGGAAGCTGTGGACCGAAATACACTCGTACGGCCAATTCTCACCAGTACATGTACAATGTACGTTTCACGTGTAAGCAACCACCATCTTAGCACAGTGGCCGCGCTATTTCAGGAGGGCCAGCCAGTGCCATGTAGCGAAACAGGACCGTACCAATGTTTCTGTTTACCCATGCTCACCCATCGTTTCCCCAGTATGTGTTCAGTCCGCTCAGAAAACCGATTAATAAAATATATTGTATATTCGTCGCTTATAGAGACTAAGTGAATTATCAAATTCCTGATTTGATCAATCTTTAAATTTATAAATCCTCATTTTTTTTCTATATTTGTTCATTGTGAAATCCATAGCATCCTAAACATTAGAAGCGACCGTCCAAATTTGACCAACGAAATGTCTGACCGTAAGGGGTGAAACATGATCGGTGTCCACTAGCGTTTCTCTCGGGCGATGCGACACGACAAGAGGATAATCTCGTGAGCGAAGGAAGTTCTAGTGAAAAACAAGAGAGGATAACGGAAAAGCACGAAATTCGATGCTCGACGAGGTACGAATTTCGCAAAGTGGAACGGGCACGCCAGGGCCAGAGAAAATTCAATAACCGGCAAAAGTTTCCGCGTCGAACGAAACAGACGAGGAGCAGACGGGCCTCCGCCGAGAAATTAGAAGATCGACAATAATTAAACTAGGTCGTCTTCGACGAATCGATAGGTTTTTCGTTGAGCTATCACCGTTGGTTATCGCGTCTGCATCGAATGCGGGAACGACGTCGTTGACGGGACTTTTTGTCCCGGGACGTTTGCAAGGGACGACTAACGGCTGACCTGGATACCCTCGAGCGATTTTTCTTTTGCGTGTCAACCCGAGGGGTTGAAGATTCAGACGCACAAGTGTGTCCCGTTTCATTATGCGTTCAGGGTTCTCCAAAGATCATGAGTGGAACAATTTCGATTAATTCAAGTTAATCGAAGACGCAATAGATCAGAAAATACCATCTAAGGGTTATTCTTGATCCGTCTGGTTCATTTACAGTGTTCGGTTGATACTTGTGGAACTCGTCGTTCATCGTGCATTATTATTTATTCTTCTTACGAAACCGAGGAATTTTTCTGGTCTATGTCTGTCGCTCACCGAGTATCGCGATCATCGAGCCGTACAAGAGCTTAATTCGACCCAGGTCCGATAATGTCGATGCTGAAAAATGAATCGTTCGAGCGTCTGCGTTTTTTCCATCCTTGTGAACATTTTCGTCTTAGCACCTTAACCTGTTAGAAACCGATCGCAGATGCTCAACAAAATCGCTTCTTGAAAACATTACTCCCGTGTATATACTAATTAAGTTTGATATCGACGAAAAGAGAGCGATACAATTTCGAAGGAAAATAAGCCCAATGTTCGCACAAAGCTAAATAATTGAAACGGCACGGTCAATGAAAAGCGTCAGAAGTTTCTGGTGGAAAGAAAGAACAACGCGAAGGGCAATTCGTTTGAAAGTGGAATGAATCGAAGAAGAAGAAGAAGTAAGTAGAAGGTGGAGGCGCGTTTGGATGCGATTTACGGCGGTGCAATTTCGCGAAGCCGGCTCTCCTCTCGCATCGGCAGCCGAAGCGTGTCGAGAAGCACGGCGTGACCCACTTGCTTAAACGCTGGCGAAATAATATTCCGCTTGGAAGGGAGTACGCGGTCGTTTCCATATGTACAGTCGGCTGCAATAATGCCGTCCACAGACTCCATTTTCCTAACCCTCTGTCTCGCTTGCTCTCGTGCTTTTCTGAAACGAGGCTACCGCCGCGATCGATCACAAGAGACGAGCTACTGCTGCTGTTGGTTGCTCTTAACGACCTTACCAAATAGATAAATCGTCTCGTTGTTTTCTTCTTGTTTCCACGACTCCTTCCGATGCGATTAGATGCTCGAAAAAACTGCCAATCGATATCTCTTCGTTTGTTCTCGTTATTTTACTGTTAGGATATTCCTTGATACGGTTCGGAGCGATATCAGGATGCAGATGAAAGAAATTTTCTAAGCGCAACTGTATACGATAAATTGATTCGTACCGAATGAAATCACTGTTAAATTAAACTCTGTCGCATTGAATCGCGTAGAATCTGATCTCACCACTTAATACCATGGATATGACTCGTAAACAAACTGTACAAATATCAATAATATGTTTTACATACGCGTTTGTCTAGCAGAACTTTATGCTTTCACTTTATTTCAATCAGTTTTTCGCTGGAAGCATCTGTCCGAGGGAAATCCTTTGAAAAGAGCCAATTTTTCGTTCAAGAACACGATCGAAGAGAATGCATCGTTGTACAGACGAATGGAATTGAACGGAAGGCTGCTTTGTGAGTGGCATAAAGGGAGAGATGCACCGTGAATGTGCAGCGGCAAACGGCGATGCATCTCTGTTGTTATTGACCGGCGAATACGGGACTTTGATGATTATTGTTTGCCGTATGGCGCAACGGAACGTTTCCGTAAGACACGCGGGCCACTTCTTTAAAAAGTTACAAAAATTGTCAATTTTTAACAGCGAGAAAGTGTAAAGAACGTTTCGTACGAAAGGATGTTACGCGTAATTGGATGCACTTAACGTTCCGGATGTAATACCGGTGCGATTTCCGAGCAAATATAGTTCACACAACGGTATCTCAACGATCCGACACTCTGATGTCGAAATTCTCGAGCAGACTAAATAAAATCCACGTTTTCAAGGTAATCGCGACGCATTCGTCGCGAAACGACCGAGGATTGTCTCGTTAAAGAGCGAAGAAAATAGGAACTGTCGGTGGCGAGCGTTCAACAAAGCGTGAAATTCTTCCACGAAACGCTCGCGGTCTTTAATGACTCGTTTTTTACGATCATCGGCCATCCGGTTACATCGGTGGTCTGCAAACGGTCTGCGGTATCTCATCGACGTGGAATTTACATTTTCAGAGAAGAGGAGTTCACCCACGCTCGCTCCTCTCACCAGGGTAATTCCATCCCCGAAGAGAGACCACGCGAGTGTATTGCGCGCTGACTCATGCGGGACGTTTTCAAACTCGGTCGAATTTTCGAGCAAACAATGCGACTTATCGCCGAATCGAACCCATACGTGGCGATTCGTCACCGCACAATTCGTAGAAACGCGTCTCTAGATTCGATCTGATCTATCCCGACTTGGCAACTTCCGACAAAAATATGGAAACTGTGGCCAAACGGCGTCGGGTCCGTTATCTCGTTGTTGGTCGTCTCGTAGAAAATGCGACAGCTTTTTCTAGGGAAATATACTGTCGTAGAGAGGAAGGAAACCTCGCTATTCGCGAGTAAACATTTGTCGCGATGAATTTCGTTAATTATTATTACTAAAGTACATAATATAAGCTAAATTATAATTAAATTTTCCGATTAATAATAGGAGGGTCTTTTTGCAGGGACGTATCAAGGCCAATGGAGTCGCGGAATGAGACACGGTTACGGAGTCAGGGCGAGTGCACCGTTCGGTTTGGCGAGCCATTACAAGCCGTCGAAGCAAGTCAGGGCATCTCTGACGTCCCTGAGGAGTGCGGATGGTGGAGGACCAACAGCACCGACACCGGAACCGACCGACAGGAGGGATCGTCGCGTCGACGACAGCAGGGGTGGTTTCGTCTTGAAAGCCAGGAGCGACGATCCTCCGGCACGCAGAAAGAGCCTCACCGAGAAGTCCTTGAAGAAAGGCATCCTTTCGGTAAAGTATCCTTCTATCCTCTCGATGAATCGTCTCGATAAGAATGGAGCGGTTACATAGTCGACTCGAGTACATCTCCACTTACTGATCGCTTGGGGAAGCATCTGTCCGATAACGTTTCCAGTCCTCCATAAAATGCCTTCCGATATCATAAATCCTGTTCGTTTATTGGCCACGCAATCGCTTATCCATTCAACTGCCAATCCGCTCGATTCTAACCCGCTATTGAAGTGGATACGCCAGAAACGCAATTTGAGGGACAACGATGATTTCAGGGTTTGAAGATTCGAAAGCAGAGAAGTACAGGTGACCTTGAGAAACGTGGCACCACCGGTGGCGGTAGTATCAGAAGCAACGCCAGCTCGGCTTCGTGGATGTCGACGGAGAGCTCGCAGAGTCAAGCTTCGGCGTCTGTCCATACGGATAGCAACGCGTCCTTCGTCATCGAGGTGATTATTACACGCATTCGATCTCGAGAATAATCTTCTAAAATCATCCTTTCCAACATAAGAAGACACACGTGTTTCCGTAGGACGAGCAAATGGATGCCTCGGTAACGGAGACGTACCTGGGCGAGTGGAAGAACGACAAGAGAACGGGTTTCGGAATCTCGGAACGAAGCGACGGTCTGCGATACGAGGGAGAATGGTTCAACAACAGGAAGTACGGTTACGGTGTGACCAAGTTTCGGGACGGTACCAAAGAAGAAGGCAAGTACAAGAACAACGTGCTGATCACCAGCCAGAAAAAAAAGCACCTGTTCCTGATCAGATCGGCCAAATTCCGCGAGAGGATAGAGGCCGCCGTGAGCGCGGCTCAGAGAGCGAGCAAGATCGCTCTTCAGAAGGCGGATATCGCCATCTCTAGAACGGCCACCGCTCGAGGAAAAGCCGAGGTAGCGGACATCGCCGCGGAACGCGCGAGAGAAGATTCCGAGCTGGCCCAGCAGACGGCGAAACAATTTGCTCCGGACTTTCGGCAGCCCGGGCTCGAGAGGTTGCGGAACAGGGAGATACCCAAGTACGTGCCACCGCCCCAAGACACCGTTCCAGGGAAGAGTATCCTGCACAAGGCCGGCAGCGTGGACCAACCAGGCTCCACGCCCATCAAGAGCTCCACCTCGGCTGCGGAAGTCACGTCGACGACCACCACGTCCGCCACGTCCACCGCCAGCAACGTGATGCAGTCGATCAGGAGAGCCAGCATGAAACCGCAGATGTCCAATCAATTGCCGCAGAACCAGCTGCCGCAGAATCAACTGACGCAAAACGAGATACCGAACCAGGTGACTCCTGCCCAGCTGCTGAACCAGGTACCTCTCAGCCAGTTGAATCAGACCAATATGGCCGGCCAGAATCCCTACCAGACGCAGTATCCTCAATCGATGGCTCAGAATCCCGTTCAACAGTATCCTAACAGTATACCGAATCAGTATCAGCAAACGAGCCAATTCCAAGGCGGACAGTACGCTCCGCAGAATCAGTATCCTGGTCAAGGTAGCCCGTACAATCAGCCACAGTATCAACCTATGAACCCTCCTCAGGGCGATCAGTATTTGTACCAGCAACAGCAGCCGTTAGGGCCACAGGGCTACCAGAACGTGCAGGCTTATCCTAATCAGCAGGTGATCACTTTAATTTCATAAGATTCTGTTTGTTCGTTTAAGTTAAGTAGATGTAGGGTGATTCGTGATCGAGTCTGTTGGTACTGATAATATTTGATGCTTGTAGATGACAATACCGAATCAGTATGGGCAAGGTCAGATGAACCAGTACAGTTCTCAGCAATTGTACGGACAGCAGCAACAGCAACTGCCACCGCAGCAACAGCAGACGCAAGTTCAGCAACAGTATCAACCCGACGGTGTCGGGGACGCACAACGACCACCGAGTTCCACGAGTATACGAAGAAACAGCAGGGTCCTGACTCCTCAGGATCGACCGGGCACCATTGGACAAACGCTGAACGACAGGTCTCGGAATTGTTTATTAAAATTGAAGATCGAATCATAAGGACTCTTTATGACCAATTCTGACCCATTGGTTTTACAGACTAGATCATTACAAGAGGCCGCCCAGCCGTGATAGTTCGGTAGATCGTTATGCTAGAGCGCATTCCCGGTTGACTGGATCGAGACAACCGTCCATTGATAAAACCGTCACGAACCCGCCCCAGGATGTCCTCGACAGGTGACCGAAACCCCTTTTCAGAAATCTTATATCAAGAATTCCGGTTAGGTTCTACACTTTTTTTAGCTCATCGTCTTTCCTCGATGATCTGTAGTCTCCCTAAGTATTCTGTTATTTAGTCCTAGCATCTGTAAGCTAATACCGATATAATTGCATGCAGATCAACGAGAGCACCAAGTGCAATACGATCAGGAACACCGTTGAACGGATCGGTGGTCGGAAGCGGCACAGCGACGCCCACGTACGCAGCCTCGACTTCCGGTCAGTTCGAAGGAGCCCTCCTGAAGAATCGTAGCCTTGGTCAAGACATACTGCCGAGTCCAGGACAGCCTAAACGTACGGAAAGCCTGTATGTCACGCCAGGACGAGGCCCGACCGCATCCGGTGGCGGAAGTGCTGGTGGGGGTGGTGTGTCGAAGGTGAGTCCTATTCTTTCCTTTACTTATTATCTTCCACATAGATATTATTACATTCGCATATTCCTTGTCTTTCTTTCTTTCTTTCTCTCTGTTCGTCACGCGACATCCTTGCACTTGGCGCAACGAGACTCGAGCAGGAAATCGTGAACTTTTTGGATCTGATGTTTCCTAAATTTATTCGTTCTCGTGTCTATCCGAAATATTTCGTGTCGATCTGAAATGGATTTTTCAAAATTTTGTATATATCTAAACGAGTTGCGCATCGATTGTCCCATACATGTCGATAATACATGGGTGTATAAGGTATTCCAGAATAGTTGTCTCCAAATTATAATGAAGAAAAATCCTGTACAGATTAATCCTATTTTCTATAAATAGCAAACAACATAACTTGTATATAAATCGAACAAATATTTCCCAAAGTTGTATAAAACTTTCGTGTCCCCTTAAATGTGATGTACATATTTACACGTAAGTAATGTACAGTTTCGTATACCCTTTGCGAATGAATGTGCACCATAAAAGATCCAAAAAAATTCATGACTCCCTTATCAGCCTATATTTCCCTTGATCGTATCATTTATGACCTCGTTTCGAGTCTTTCCTCATCGAGCTGTTCCATGATCTGTGTTGTCACACAGTAGATACTTGGTAAAGGAGCAGAGTACTCTTTATTTTTCGTCGAAACGGAATCAGACAGTTTTCCAGGAGAATCGCTCAAAAATATCGGCAGACCTTAAACAAGATAACAATGGCTACCCTCGCGCCAAGCAAATTTGTAATTCCCTAAACAATTCCGTCAGATTTTACTATAATAATTCTATTTTCGATTGTTGATTCGCTCTACTTGTTCGTAACTCGTCTAGCAATCATGGATGTCCATGAATCGTCTAGTCCCTAGTTAACGTGCGAAACCAAATGGTCTAATTAGGTAAGACAAATTTAACCCAGTTGCATTCGTAATGAAGGATTTCGAGCGCGAAACGCAGGAACACCAGGCAACTCTCTGTTCCTTTCTCTTCCCGAATCATCCCCTTTTTTAATTAATAATCCGTGCTCCGTAACGGCGGTTCCAAAAATTTCAGCCAGGTTCTTTCTATCTCTGTACCTTTTCTTCTCTGTCGATTTGTTTGTCTGTGTAACTGTGTGGCATTTTGTGCTGTGTTCTGTGCATGCCATCCCAGGACGCAGGCCGGACGGTCCCCGCCTTCGCCGCAACGTCGAAGGGCCGCGCAACCCTCTGAGTATAAGTATTATAATAATATCTACACAACCAGAACACGCTAACGTACCTACATGTGCGCATGACACACTAACACACACGTACACCTACACGCGTTGCGATAGAACACGGAGAAAAATCGCCTCGTGTTTCGTCACGAATGAGAACCGTTTGCGGTGGGCTGTCGATCGAGACACGTTCTGGATTTTTTCGAGAAAACGAAGAGGAACTATGTTCAGATAAAAATACTGATTTTTTTATAATAGGGCATGGTGGAATATCGATTATTCGAATATGGTTGCGGATACTTATGGTCATGTTTTGAACGCGACTGAATTTTTGTAGGAAAAGTCTATATTGGGAAGTTACGATATGTGCGTACTTTGACATTTGAACAGTATGCATAATGCTATGGTACGGTACGAGTATGCCACACGTTAGATTCCCGTTTATGATGTTCAGTATTTCAGAATTCTCACTGTTCGTTAATAAACTTATGGAAATAATGGTATTCAAGATCATAACCTAAAGTCCCCCTATAACTCGAATAATCAATATTTCACCATAGCTTCTAAAACTTTTACGAACATTCCACCCGTGTAAACCAGCGAAAGAATTCATTCCAAAACATGCATTCCAATATTAAAGGTTCGGTGTCTCCGTCCAGCCCACACTGACCCACCATTTCGCGTAGTATCGCGAGAAGACTAGATCAGTCGAAACGGTTGGAACCCTTAAACGAACTCGACTCGTTCGATGTATAAAGTGACGGTTTACACGAGCGACGTGTTTACGGGAACGGAGACCGGAACCGTTGTTTGGTACGCGTCGAAGAGGAAAATATTTTCAGATCGACACTTTAGTCTCGACGAACCGCGCGTACCAGACACCGGAAATCATCGATAAGTCTATCGAGACTCGGTTAAAAAATTCCATTGAAAGATTGAATACAGGAAAAGCAGAGTCTAACGATGAGAAATTGTTTAAAAATTATGGACATAAATCTTACGAATCGATACTTGCTGTTCAAGGGTTAAACCATTTCTTGTGATTCAACGATGATTCGAGTCACCGATAACGTAACTTGGAAGATGTTTTAGCGACGTACGAATTATGGCTACGATTCGAACTACGTTTGACAATTTTAATCCAGACAGATGTCGAAAGTGTGAATTAGCAAGGAGGACACTCGTACCTGGTCGTAGATTGTTCACTAGCTCTACTGTGTAGATAATTCGCGTCGAAGATCGATAGACGTTTAACTGTTTCAACTTCGAGCTCGATCGAACAAATTTTTTGAAGAAAAAGTGAAGGAAGTATAGGAAGAAAGATATCCGTAGTCGAGGTTGAGGGGGTTAAATCGAATTTGGGCATCGAACGAAACGAGGCAACGTTCTATCCGTCTTCTTGTCAGATACAGAATTATTTTTCTATACGAGAAGCACAATAGACGTAGCGGAATGGATGAACGAATATTTATGAAAGTTTTAACGGACGACGAGCAGTGGACTGTGCTCAATTTGTCGTTGGTATTGCGATCGGTTCGAACCATTGACTACTAATCGAACGATTTCGAGTTGCTCAACCCTTGACGAGATCGGTGGGCTCTGAAACCTATCTGTTTTATAAGTATTGCGAGGACTCATAATTTCTTTCGTTTAGACATTAAATGTACAATTGTACAACTTTTTTTGCGGCAAAGTATGGAGTACAGTTCGAGATGATCGCAATATCAAAGTGAAGGAAAATTCACCTGAATACCACGGGCTTTCGTGTTGATCAAACGATCGATCGATAATATGTTATAATTCCCTTCATCCACCTTTCTTTCCTTGTCCACCGCGTCAAAGAGTAATTCCCTTCGAGGACTCGAAGGCGAATGAAAAATGACGAATACTCATAAACGGGTTATATCGAAATCATCGACATCTAGATACGAACATTTTTTTAAACGCAACTATGGATCTTTTTGTTATTATACTTTAAAGATCGTCGGTATTGCTGCTGCAATAAAAAGCTTACAATTTTTATCCGCGAAAATTGCAGGAGTATCCTTATCGTCGATTTCGATACAACCCTCTCCAAACACATGCATAGAAAACGATCTTCAATCCAGCAATTGGCACGGTGTCACGTCCATTAATCTATCGAAATAACGCGCTGATGATGATAATGATGATATTGATGATGATAATGATAATGATAATGATGATGATGTTAACGTCCATTAATTAAGCGATCCGAGGGATTCGAAAGGTAAGGTTCACGCGCGGTGTGGAGGCGGGGACCGGTTTTTCTTTTTCCAATTATCATATCTCGCATCTAATGTTTCTCCGATTTTGTTCTGTGACAAGCTTCGAACCAACCCTTCGACAAAAACAAGACCCTACCCCGTTTTCTCGAATTCGACGGTCCATTATCCCTTGATCGTCGGTGTTCACGTCGTTCTTCGTTCCCTTGTTCCCAGTTCCACGTTTCGTCACTTCGAACGACCAACAGGATAAATATTATCTTCACCCTCCACCTCCACGCCGCTTGTTTTCTTCCTGTTTTTTGATCAGAAACATTATTTTTCTAACGCATGCTTCTATATGACGTAGCGTCACTCTATGAAGTCTATATTGTATAATGATAATATTGTACCAGTTCCACAGAATGGGATGTACACGTTATGTATATATACACACAAGTACACATACCAGAAACCCACGTATATTATGTAAAATATATTTCGTAGAAGTACGAGGTACGTAGTGCGAAAATAATCAACTAGGTGGCAAATACTGTAATTAAAAGAACGACGATGGTTCACCCTTTCGAGATATTTCGGTTAACAAGATCTACGATTGCGCGGGAATGGTTCTTTTCGATGTTTGATTCAGCAACAGTGGCGAGGTATTTAAAATCGAGGGTCAAATCCGGTCGACGTCGCGAAATTTTGCCGACAAATCGTGTTCCAAATCGAGCTTGGATATTCGTAATTTCAGGTACTCGTATATAATCTTAATATTTAGAGAATTTTGGGACTTGGACCTGCGTTGACCCGAACGGATGTTACGGACAGAGTGCTTAAACTATTAAATGAAACATAAATTATAACTCGGAAGGGTTGATCCACGTTGAAGAAGCACAAAACGTCGGTACCAAATGTGCATTACTAAACACGTGAAAATTACTTAGAACTCGTGTGCGTTAGGTACGACCCCGCTCACACATTCACACAAGAGGTTAGATCTCTATTTTAATCACAGTTATACTCACGAGTACAATTACGAACGCCTTCGGTGCGCCACGTTGAATTTCTTAACGACGAACGCGTCTTTTAAGGATGCAAGTGTTAACTCGTATTTTACGCCGTACGTTAAAAGCACCCTCCTTTCGAAGAAACATAATAATAAAAATAAAAAATCACTTTGATAACGTTCAATTCTTACCACGTTGCTCAAAGTATAAGCTCGAGGTGTAATTAAGAATTTTTACGGGAACTTTTTAACTGTTTCTACGCGAACAAAAAGGATTATGAGCTTTTTTACACGACAAAGATAAAAAGAAAACGGAGAGAATGAAGCTGTCAGGACTTTTTATTAAATATTTCTCGATTTATCCATTCAACGTGGTCGCAATTGTACCTTAACGACGGTCGTGCCTAAAAAGAGAGCGAATTCAAGAAAAATCTAAATAACAAAAGTTCGATTACGACGATCGAATGAAACCTGGAACCTTTTTCAACTGGGAACGAAAATAATTTCGAGGACGAAGCTCGGTTGGAATTGAGTCT